AGACTTTAAGTTCTCAGAAGTCTTTGGGTACAGCCCCTTCATTTTAAGGTAAAGAAGACAAAGGCCAGAAAAGCTGATGTCCCCCCGCCCCAGAAGTTTTCTCATAGCACAGTTCCTCAGGTCTTCCTTGTGTTGGGTCCTATTCAGGTGCTGGTCTATTCACTATTTGAGGTCGCTCAATTAACATCTAAGCAAAATCTGGTGGGACTACCTCCATAAGAATATGGGACAACTCAAAAAATATGGTCCAGCTCAAATAAGCAACAAATAAATGACGCAGCAAAGCAACCACTTAGCAGTGAAACTCTGCAGTTACAGGTGGGAGCTGCACATCTGCAGGCATACAGGTGTGCAGAGGTGTGGAGTTGGGGTGGCAAGCCACACACCAGAAATGCTGCTGGCAGATGAAAACAACCCTGAGCCAAGGAGCACCGAGGACAGTGCACAGGAGCCACCTCCTGAAAGGTGACCAAGGCTTCATGATGCCAGAGCCCCAGAAAATAACAGGCCCAGGTTGACGGCATCCTCTACACGTTTCCCTGGTTCTGGCAAGCAAGCACAGGGCAGGTTCACTATGGACTTGGGCAGATGGGTGGAGAATCCCAGAGCTCTCACTAGCTCTTCACAGGCTTTATTGCTCTTCTGACGCCAGTTGTGGTGAGGCAAACAGCAGGCTGGCCAGGCAGTGAGGACGGGGAGCTGGGAGGCTGACAGGTCTCCCCAGCCCCTGCCAAACCTTTACTCTCTCCTTCTCTGTCGTCACTGTCTTCTCATTGCAGTTCTTGGCCGCAGCCACCCTCTGAGATGCTGCACTCATGGCCTCAGCGTCCAGGCTCAGGTGTGCCCCGGGCTCATGCCCACACCACACCCAGGGGTCTACCATCAGGCAGCGCCCCCGAGCTCAGGCTCCCAAGGGGCTCCTGCATTCAAGGCTGCAGGTGATAGCCACAGATGCCAGTGGCGTGAAAACCTGACCAAGCCTCATTTTCCCTTACAGACCATTTTAGGAAAAGTAAAGAAAATGAAAGATCAGCTGTACATTTGCCGTTCTATACACTGTGCTGTTTCAAAATTATCCTATGCCACTACTCCATTTACACAAATTTTATGCCGTTCAGAATCCCCTGCAAACAAGCAATGCATTTGGAATCACCAAGTTTTATTGTCCACGGTTGTAATTTGATTCCCCTCAAAACATTAAGACACTGTTATGTTGTGTTTTAGATGTCAATCTCTTACGAACTTTTGCTGAAGAAAAATGTCTCTTGAATGTGAATAATCTTAGACCTTACTTCTTGCTTTCAACTGACAAAAATAAATATTTACAGTTACAATGCTAAATATTTGCTTAGCTGTGCTATTTTGTTGGTTGTTTATTTTAGCTGTATCATGTTTTTATGGCTCTAAGGGTCCTTCAAATAGAATAACAGCATTGTTTTTACATATTCTGGATAGCTTGAAGGAAGTTAAAATAATTTATTTTGAACAACTCAGTGTCTGAATCAGCTCTGGTGTTATATCAAGTGAGCCATAAAAATGAACATTTATTTCTCAGTTATGGAAGCTGAAAGTCCAAGGTCAAGGCACCAGGAGATCAGTGGTGAATGCACACCACCCAGTAATGCCCATTTCGGTCCTCACATGGTGAAGAGAGAACACCTCACATCTCTTCATGAAAGAGCTCTAATCCTATCCTGAGCACACCCTCTTTGTGATCTAATCACCAGACCCAACGTTCTAATCCCATTACGTTGGGGATTAGTCTTCAGCACACGAATTTAGGAAAATACAAATCTTTAGTCCTTAGTATTCAGTTAGTCAAGAGGTAAACTTAAAGAAATGAGTCTGCCCATGAGAATGCACAGTTGGACTGAAGATTTAGTGTCATTCCAGACAGAAGGAAAGAGCCTCTCTTTGGGGGTCCAGTGCCCTGCACAGCAGCCTGGCAGCACCAACCAGGGCACCTCACAGCACTCACCCCTCTGGCCTGAAATAGTAAAACATAGAAAGGTCACAGGAAGCTGATATAGTACCT